AACGTGCCCAGGATTTGCATAGGGTGATGAATGAACATTCATTATGTACCCCTAGTACCAATATTCACAAAGTCATAATTGTATAGAAACTCAAAAATATTTATTTTGAATATATAGTCACGTACAGTGAGAGTTAGCCTAATCGTTCTAGTTTTGGCCTACCTTTAGGGTTCTGCTACCCTTGTAGGCCTAGCAGAAAGACTTAAAGAAAGAGAATGGACAGTAAATAGAATCAAAGATATTTTTCAGGTTCATTCGACCTCTCTGACAATTGTGTATAACACATAGTTACCGCGTTTAATGTCACCGACTGTCTTATTATAATCAGAAAGTATTAAAGCAAAATTTTAAAGAATAAAAAACTTTAAAAAATTGCTCTACCACTTTACTACCAAATCAAAATACTTCAAAATTAAATTAAACAAAGTATATATACTTATAGTTATTTGGGACCACATTATTATGCAGTTTAAATAATTTGCCAACAGGTGCGCTAATAGGCATAAGTTTTTATCTGACAATTGATTTCATATAGATTATTCAATAATATTCCGCGAAGGAAAAAGGCATGGTTATTTTAGCAAATCACTGCGTATGTCTTATAGTTCAAGCTCACCATTCTACAAACATCAAGTATATATTACACGCATCTAATTTTGAATCTGAAATAGACAAATTAAGAAGAATGTGAATACAAAAATCTGCAGTTTACGTGATTTTTATCATAAATTTTACGCCTTTCAAGTTGATGTGTATCAAAATTTTTTCCAGTTATTTTGTATAATATTTCTACCAGCAGGTGATGCGTGGTTCACAAATTACTGTAACCTTGAAGCGCCACAATAACTTTAAATAAATATATATATATATATATAATAAGCTAATGAAGCCTGTTGGAGCACTTTACTCTGCATGAAAGTATAAAATAGAGTGGATAGGGTGTGTGAAATTTAGAACCCTATGCATAATAGAAAAGAATTAAAAATAAGTCATAGTTCAAGTCAAAGGAAGTGGCTTTTGTATGGGCTATCTTTCGCTTTCTTTGATTAAATGCATAATAAAAAACTTGAATATTTCTGTTTTAGCGGGCTTTCATTCACTAATCTTAGGTGAGAGAAAATGAATTAAAAATTGTGTTAAACCTTAGTAAATAGAGATAACTATTATTAACATCTGAGATGAAACTGGGTATAACAAGTTGACGATCGTTCAGAAATTTGTTGCTAAAGTTTGTAAGCCTAAAATTAAAATATTACAATACTAAGAAAGTGTTAAAAAGTAAACTTCGCTTCGGAATATATAAATATTTAATCATAAAAACTTAGTTTTAATCAATCATTTACACAAATTTCTCTTTACTAAACACGTCTACTTTGATAACACTCAGTTTTTGGTCACTGTTCTAAAAATGTGCGCGCATCTTACTATCTAAATGCGCATGCACGTGCTCTTTATTTCAACGGTAAACAAAAGGCGGATGTAAATATACTTTAGTGGACATTTTGTACAATATATTAAAATATTACCAAAGTTTTTAAAAAGGCCTAACAGTTAGGTCGTAGAATACCATTATAAGTTTATTTATTGATAATATTGAGTACGGTAAAGTTTAACCCTAACTAACTAAAGCAAAAAACGTACACAAGTTACAATGTTAATTTTTATCTTTAATGATAGAGACTGTATTTAACAAAGGCTTAACTAATGTTAGGCCTAATACAAGTGGACTTGTAGATTTCGGTATCTCCCATTAGAATTATTTTGTGTTATTCTAGAAATTTGTACTTAAACGAAATATTATTGCAATAAAGATACTAATTTGACCGCAAATGTTCTGTGTGTCTCTGCTAATTAACTTTCAATCGAAGCTACCTTCTTTAAGCGAAACTAAAATTCAACCTGGATATGAGTATAGTAATTAAATATACGTTTCTTACGTATAAAAACTAGAATCCAGGTGATTAGGGCGCTCGACTCGCAATCTGAGGGTCGCGGGTTCGAATCCCCGTCCCACCAAAC